CTATCAAAAACCCCCCCCCCCCCCCCGGGAACATGGTGCACCTCATTCCTTGGTGGGGGGGAGGGGGCAGTAAGGCCTAGACCTGGCTCTGCAGCTGGAGAGACAGCAAACACCACCACCTTCCCATCATGCCCCTGTCTCTGTGCCCTTATGCCCCGCCCCCAGGGGCTCCTGCTGCAGCTGGTTCTGGTGAGTGACCCCAGTGGCGTGGAACGGAGCTGCCTGAGTTTGCCGGGAGCCGGTGGGGGTGGGGGTGCGGTGTGACCTGTGGGGCCCCCCCAGCCTGCTCCACCCCCAGCTCCCCCCACCCCATCAGCCCCTGCTTCCAGGCTCTGCCCGTGGATGCTCAACACCACCCCCGTCGAGGCCCCCCCAGCCCTGGAGACCCCAGGCCCCCCCGCCCCTTTCACCAGTGCTGTTTGGGGGGAGCAGGGCCTTGACCTCTGACCCCTAACCCTAGCCATGCCCTCTGACCCCAATGTGAATTCCCTTTTGTAAAGACCCAGCCAGTGCCAGGCTTGTGGGGGGCAGGTGTTGGGGGGGTCCAGGGGGATCCCCCACTTCTCCGAGCCACCTGGGGGGTCTCTAGGGGGGGGGGCAGTGTTTTTAACCCCTGTTTCTTACCCCCTCTTTGTTTTGGATACCAGGCGCTTTTCATGCCCGTGACTTTGTACCTTGCCCCATGGGGGGCTCTTGGGGGGGGCTCTGCCCCCCAGCTGCCCCCCCAGCCTTGCCCCAACCCCTCTCCCCGCCTGCATGCCGCCTCGCCCCACGGAGACGCAATACAGGTGTTTTGAAGAAAGCCGCTGTGCTGTGCTCTTCTGCGGGGGGGCTGCATTTGTGCCCCCCCCAATTTGGGGGGGGGGACTTTTGGAGTGAGGGGTCCGCCAAATCCCCCCTGACCGGTGCCCCCCAGCTGCCCCCCCAGCCTTGCCCCAACCCCTCTCCCCGCCTGCATGCCGCCTCGCCCCACGGAGACGCAATACAGGTGTTTTGAAGAAAGCCGCTGTGCTGTGCTCTTCTGCGGGGGGGCTGCATTTGTGCCCCCCCCAATTTGGGGGGGGGGACTTTTGGAGTGAGGGGTCCGCCAAATCCCCCCTGACCGGCCCAATTGGCTAAGCAAGTCATCGCCGGAGTTGGGGGCTGGGGGGAGTGACCTGCACACCTGGGTTCGTTTT